AGAGGAGAGAAGCAGAGAAATCTTAGAGCTGAGGTTTATCTCAAACGGTGTGAAAAAGCAGGTGCTATTTTCTTAGGTCTGTGGAAACGTTCGACCTCCCCGCGGTCATTATTATACACCATATCACTGTGATGCTCAAGCTTAGTCTGCAGATTTATTGTTTGTTGTAATCACCTCTTAAACGCCTTGTATCTGGTTTAAGTTTGTTTTTAGTTAAAGGCATAAACTTAAAATTATGCAGCTCGATCCACAAATTTATATCCTATAGGTGTCCACTTTTGCAGAAAATATATAATAATAAGTATAGTAATATAAAATGGTCATTGCAATAAGAGAAAGTGGGCCACTCATATTTTTATAGTATTATTATTATTTTTAATTCACAAACAAAGCTCTTCTGCATCAGCAAACTTCCAATGATTTAATATATCGATATGAGTATGAGTATGAGTATAAGAGACGTATAACCAGCCCCATTTCCTCTTGACTCTTAAACCCCGTACAGGCCTATGTTTACTTACGCCGATTTTTGTTCTTCCCCAGCAACTGCACGGCTTCACCCGTGTTTGCTGGGTGCGAATGTCCATTGCGTTCTGTACTGTCCCCTATTTGGGGCTCGAGAGCGAGAGGCGAATAGTTATAATAGCCGTTCCCGGGTTCGCCGGGCCTATGCTATACGCTCAGTGAGGTATGGATGAGGGACGGGAGGGAGTTGGTTTTTGGGGGACAATTACGCCGACTTAAAACTAAGTACGACGCGGAATCCCCCTAGACCAGTCGGTTAGTATTACTCCAAACATTTGGGATTACTATTTGGAGTTGGGGAGTTGTTATTACGCTGCAGGGGTGTAGTTTCCTAGTCGAGGTCTTCGTCTTGTTCATTATTGTCATTATCCGTGTCGGATAGTTCCTGAACTTGGTAAAGTGTGTCGGTTGTTTTTTTATTTTTATTTTATTTTTATTGTTGTTTAGTTGCTCCCAACTGGTCTTGTTACTTTGTGAGAAGTGCATGTATTGTACTACGTGTCATGAAATGTGAAGCATGGTCTACCGATTTTTTTTGTCTTTAAGATCTAGTTTAAGGGTGGCTTGTAGTATGTTGTTGCGTTGTCTACGAGTGACGTGGACCCAGTGTTTAATTGGGCTACTCTTACCCTTTTGGTAATGGTTTTTCCCATTGGTACGATAATCGGCACACATGATAAACTCCCCCGCAAGGAAATACAACCCCCCGCGGCCCCCTCCCGGAAGACAATCCACACAACGGCAATCGTGCTACGACTACCGCCGTGTAGACCATCCCCCGTATAGGCCACGGGAGGCTGCACCCCCCCGCGGAGGAGTCCATCACTCGTGCCGAGCGTAAGGCCGCAATCGCTGCGATAAGGCAGTTCCCCGTGGGGGTATTTTTTTTACTTTTAAATTTTATAATTCTCTAAAAGTTCGCTTCTTTCTCTTTTACTTTTTTTTTTGTTGAATTATAATAATTATTGTTACATAATTATTACAATTATTGTAACTTAATTCCGAAAATTCGATAATTTTATTTACCCAATTCGTTAATTTCAACTTTTACATCTGGCAATACTGCTATTCACACTCAACTTGTTTATTTTGTTTTTGTCTTCTTGCATATTTAGTTTATTTATTTATTTATCTTACGCCTTTTTCGATGGTTGTTTATGATTTGTCTGCTATGAGAAAATGAGGTTGTTTGTTTAAACTTAAGGAAATGTTCTTATTCTTTTTTAATTAGTTTTTGAGACAATAAAAGAATTTGCAACATTGTGAAATGCTTACATAAACATTGTGAAATGCTTTTGTAAACATTTAGCGAATATACGGTAAGACATGCAATTGGAAAAAATAACTTAGCTTGACCATTTGGTGCTGGAATTGAACCATTTCATGCCGCTCGCACGTGTGGTAGTCCAGTAAATTTCGTGGAAGTGTCGTCTCTCTCACACCTTTTAACCAGGTTCAACACTTGAGGATTTAATCAATGGGGGAGGTACCACACACAATTTGCACTTTTTTGCACTTGGGACAGTTATCACGTTTAGAATCGATTGATTTTTTATTATTTTACGGCGTTAACCAGTTATCACGTTACTACATTTGTATCGTATACGCTGCTTAAGACAGATCGATGAGCATATGCTTACACTTCAAGCGTCAAGAGCAGAAGCATAGATGACATTAAAAGCGCTTCGCTGAAAGAACTGTACAAATGTCAAACGCTTTTAACATTACTTTTTACCAATCTAATATCTGTCAAACAAATTTAACCTCACTTTTTCCCATCTGACATCTTTCAAACGGTTTTAACCTAACTTATTCCAAATTATTACCTTCTTGGCATTTCTCACAAGGGAACTTTTTAGATTTAGTTGTCTCATTTGTTCTAAAAGAAAGATCTGAAGATTTGGCTGCATAGCAATGTTCAAACTTTATTTCATCATATTCAATGTTATCATCGTTGAAATCCTCATCACTATTTACATCTATTTCATCTTCACTCTTTATATATTCAATTATATTATTTACAAATTCTTCATCCTCAGTTATAGGTACTTCCTCTTTAAAACATAGAGAATCTTCTATAACCTCATTTATGAGGTCAGATTCCATTAATGTTAATTCTTCGTTTTCTTCTACTGCTATGGTATTTTTATTTATTTGAAATAATACATCTTTTATAATAGCATCGCTTTGCAAGCATTGTTTTTTGAATTTATAAAACTTAATTAATTCGGGTAAACATGCACTGCAAATCGAGTATGGGGCATGATCGACGTTTCTCTCCACATCCAAGTTTAAACACGATTCAAAGATATTAACCAGTAATTTTTCTTCGCATATTATTTTAAATAAATGAAATTCGCTCCCACTTAAAAGGCAAATTTTGCACAATTTTTGTAATCTGAAAGGATCCTCAGATTCCATTAAAGCAGCAACAATACCCTTCATTATGCTAATTAAATGTGTTTACCACTGAAAAATCAAAATAAAAATCACCTGTTTAGAGTACATAACATTATGTTCTGTGTACATAACCTCAGAACTTTTTTTGATTTGATTTGATTTAATATATCGATATATCCAAAAATTGCAACTTAAATATTCCTAGTGATGTAAACAGATAAAAAACGTTTTGTTAAAAAAAAACATGTTTTTTTTGGAAAAAACTAAGGGGCTTGTTTTTTTTTTAAATTTTGTTTTTTTCAAAAATATTGTTTTTCCTTAATAGAGGTTATAAGAGAAAAGCAGAACAATTTTGAATTTTTTTAAAATAATCGTTATTTATAATAGAGGTTTTTAAGTAAAAACATCAAATAAAAACTTGCTTCTAAAATAAATATATATATATGTATGTATACATAAGTGTCTATGAAAATTAAAACAAAAACTAAAATAGTTTTTATTTATAAGAAAAAAAGATAGGCAGCATCTAAATCTTACATGTTAACCTACATTACCTACCATTCAAAATCAATATAATCAGAATAAACGTTAAATTCTTCTGGCCGTTCCTACGTGTTAGTAATCTTGGCCCATTATTATTTCTCCTCTTTATTAACGACCTTATATTTACCCTGCCCGATAATAAGTTGCTTTTCGCGGATGATCTTAAAATATATCGAACAGTATACGATTCGAATGATTGTTTAACGATACAAAAAACCCTTGATTTGATTTATTCCTGGTGCATCCAATCTAAACTTATGTTAAATTTATCAAAATGTTTAGTAATAACATATACTAAGAAAAAAAACTTTATTCAGTTTAATTATTCCATTAATGACACTTTACTTGAGCGAAAGACTAAAGAAAAAGACCTGGGCATAACCTTTGATAATGAACTATGTTTTAACAACCATATAAATAACATAATTGTTCAAACGTCTAAAACCTTAGGATTTATAGTTCGAAATTGTAAAGATTTTAATAATATTGATGCTTTGAAGCTTTTGTTTAACTGCCTAATTAGGTCTAGGCTCGAGTATGGTGTTTTAATTTGGTTTCCTTTTTATGCATGTCATGTCCAGCGTATCGAAGCTGTCCTGAGAAAGTTCTTGAAGTATCTCGCTTATAAGGAGGATCGAATTTACCCTGAAAGAGGCATAGACAATAATTACCTATTAAATAGATTCTCTCTGGATTCTTTGCAGGATCGCAGAAATAGAATTGCGTTAAATTTTATTTATAATCTATGTAACAATAAAATAGACTGTCCATTTTTATTAAGTTCTTTAAAATTCTTAGTGCCAAGATTTAACTCAAGAAACTCTGATACTTTTTATCTTCTAGCACCAAGAACTAATGTAATGCAATGCTCACCTATATTTAGAATATGTACTTTGTTTAATAGCATTAGTGATATAGGTATGTGATATTCACAATAGTCCCCTATCATATATTATTGAATGTTTTTTTGGCAGATTTTAATTTATCTGAAATGTTGTTCATTGTTTATTTTACTGTACTGTTAATAACATTTCCTGTAATTGGGTGTATTCCTGTTGGAAATAAATTATTATTATTATTATTATTATTATTACAGAAAAGTTTTCAGAAGTACCTGACAAAGAACTGTTGGAACTATAATTTAGAAGATCTACAACCATGTCAACTGTATCTGTGGCATCTTTGTTAGGTAGTTTTTTTATAATTGAGAAAAAACAATGTTTTTTTTTTCAGAAAAAAAACATGTTTTTTTTCAATTTTTTTTTACATCACTAAATATTCCTCATACAATACCAAATATAACTTAATATAGATATATTTTGCTCCAAAATTAATTAAAAAATAAATAAAAACCATTAATTTTTCCGAGCAAAAACGTATACAACCCCTTAATTAAAAAAATGCTACTGTTTTAATGCAAAATTGATGAAAAATCCAGAGGGGCAAAATATTTAATTACATAACATTACATTAAGGAAATTCTTACCTTAAAAGTGTTTTTAAATAAAAATAAAACAAAATTTAAAATTAAAATTGGTTTACTTTGGCACAGTTCTTATTTCTCATATCAGTCGAGGTAGGGTAAAATATAATTATCTACGATTGAAACATTCAAATGCCACATGAAATGGTTTACTCCAGGTACTGTGACGATTTTTAGTTTTCCTGCTTTATCTAAAGTCTTTAATCCTATCCTATCATCTTTGTAAATGCTTCTTTCAGTAAATTCGACAACAGTTCCATTTCCATTGTAATATCCAAATTGACTAAAAAATACAATTTTGAACTAATAATATAGTGTTGGCAGCTAAGAAATATAAAGACACGCTTATTATTAAGTAAATATTAAGGATCACGAAATCCTGGGACTACTAGCGACATCTATGTTCCAAGCAAAGAACATACTTTAATTCTTGTTCATTCCTTTAAAGTTTGGTAATTTTATTTGGCAGCCTAAATATCATCTTATATTCAACTATAAACATAGTGTGTTTAAAGATTTTTGTAATTTTTTTTATTTTTGCAGGGAATACTTTATGCACAAAAAAGTAGTTTTCGACTTGTTATGATGATTTAAATTATAATTTGTTGACACAAACTAAAGCGGGAGTACCTGTATAAATGCATTTATATAATTTTGTTACCTTTCACATTAAAAAAATGTAAAATTCGGTCTAGAGTAAGTTAAGTTAATTCAATTAAATAAAAAATATTTTGAAATATAATAATAGGAAGGTCGGAAATTAATTGTTGCTTAAAATATGTTACATTAGTATAAAAAGCGCTTGCTGTCAATTTAACTTTCTCTTAACATTTATTACACTTAATAATTGCACCCAGGCCGACCCTATATTTATAAATTTTCGAATATAACGTAAACTTGCAGTGCAAATGACATTCGAACCCCGCCAGCTTTTGGTTCGCACATGACGTCACACGGTGCGAGAGAGATAGCTATAACATGTGCATCACCATACCGGTTTTTGTGTATCGTGATAGACAATGCCAACATTTTTTTAAATTTACTTTTCAATAAAAGTTATCACATTTTTTATTGTAAAATTAGCAAATATATTATAATAAAACATATGAATCGCTTATTGAAAAACGGGTACGTCATATTTTTATTGATTTTGTCTATCAACTTTATAGGCAGGCCCGGATTGGGATAATTTTTCGGCCCGGGCTTTGATTATAAACCGGCCCTTAAACCACATCAATTTTTTTGTAACAATAAAAAAATTTGAAAGAAATGAATGTTTTTTATTAAGTTTTAAAGAATTAATAATTTTTTTAAAGATTCGCTTTTGGTGGCAATATTATCTATAATCACATCAGTATTTATATCTACAAGAATTTCTTTTTCAACGGACATCAGCAGTAAGGCATCCAAGTGTTCTTGTGTAAGACAACTCCTTAGTCTATTCTGTACAAATTTTAACTTTGAAAAAGTTCTTTCACAGGAAACCTGGGTACATGACAAAGTTAAAACGTATTTATAAGCGTTATATAAATTATTGTAAGACATTGTATGTAATTTATATTGGAGCAAAACTTGAAAACAACACACAACGCAATTTTTGCATGTTTCACAAATAGCTACAGCGAGATGTTGGGATTCATCTTCCTTCAATATTGATTTGCTCTTTTTATTTACCAAGATCTCTTTCATCTTGTTCCATTTTTTCGCAAAATCTTTCAGCTCACTATAAATTTCTGCTGAGGTCACAATATTATTGCCACTGTGTTTTGTTATTTGATCCGCAATATTTTGAAATGAATCAAGTGGCAAATCATCAATTTTTCCAAAATAGGACGGATCTAGCCAAGCAAGGTTCAAAAATAATGTTTGGTGGCCTGTGAATCTGTTTTCCAAACTTTGCAAAGCATTGTCATAAATAACATTGTAAACCTGTGTTTCAAATCTCTTTTCTGGATCAGCGATACATTCATCATTACTTTTTTCCCCAGGCATCATTTTTCTTTTTTTAATTCGTTTTGCAGCAAAATTAGATGAAAAATATGGTTCTCTTTCCACTTCAACGAGAGGGTCATTATTATCATCATCAACATCTGTCGCGGTTTCTTCGGATTCATTATCCATTCTTCGATTTGCCCAAAGGACAAATTTTTTGGCAGCTACCAAAACTGCTTCAAAACTCCTTGAGTCTGTTTTGAGGGTGGTTATGGTTTTTTCAACCATTTTAAATGCCATAATAGGATTCATTCCGTTTGTTTGAAGGTATTTGGATAATGGAGTTGTCGATTCAAAAATTTTTAAAAAGATTTGAGCACTTAGTATTACTTCAAATTTTTTCAGTGAGTCAGCAATGGACTTTGCCTTGAAACGCGCTTCGTTTGCGAAATTGGATGAACTGGCAATTTCCTCTAGGGTTAATATAATCTCTACAAAAGCTGCATTTTTTGGATTATTGTAATGTCCAAACATTTTTGTTAGAGCTTTTTTTTTTGCCCACCAACGAGTTTCTCCAATTGAAGACAACATTTTCTTTTTTTTATCAGTCACGGTGTCCCAAACTGCCATCCTTTTATAAGACTCACGAATAAATCCTGCACATTGGTTAATAATAGCAAATAACGAAATTGCTTCAACGGAAATGCTGGTCGTGTCAGCCATCACCAAATTAAGTACATGTGCGTAACACCAAACATGCACTTGGCCATTAAAATTTTTCTCCATATATGCCGAAAAACCCTTATACTGGCCTTGCATATTTGAGGCACCATCGGTAGCAGAACCAATACAATTTTTCATATCAATGCCATTTTTAACAAGTAATTCCGTTACAATTTGGTATAAGTTGGCACCTGTACTAGAGGTACAATTTATGATTCCAAACAATCTCTCTTTTACATCTTCCGAAACATATCTTACAATAACACTCAGCTGATCATGAACATTGATATCTTGAGTTGAATCAATTTGGATAGAGAACATTCCAGCCTTATTGATTTCTTCAGAAACCTTCTTTTTTATTAACGAAGATACTGACTATGATATAATTGACGGTAGTTTTCGATAAAAATGTATTGATCGATCCAGAACGGCCAGGTCGATTTTTGTCAGTTTTCTTAAGGTTGTCTTTACGGCTTAGCTCTATCGATTTATCGATGTGGACTTTGAGTATAGGATCGAATTTAGAAATTAACAAAAGAACCTCCAAAAAATTACCGTGGTCAGCACAGGTATCATCCAAAGTATAGGCAGCTTCAGCCTCCTTTGCACCTCTGAAGCTTTGACCTCGTTTTCCTAAAGTTTTAACCGTTTCAACAATCCGTTTTAAGATGTCCCTCCGTTCATTAATTTCTTGTGATTTTTTAGAGGTATCGGTGCACAAGCTATATATATCTTTCATTTTACTTTGCAATAAAAAGGATTCTGCTGATGCTTGATGAGCAATCGATTTTTCGTGCTTTCTTATTCGGTCATATATTCTGTGAGGATCAATTTTACAGCCTTCCGTGAATGAATTCGGTTCTTTGTTAAAGGCTAAGCAGAATGAGCAGAAAAAATTATTACTCTGTTCGCAAAATGAGATCCACTGTCTTCTGATTTTTTTGGTGTCAAGGTCTTCTCGAAAATAGGCCAAACTTGGGTTGAATTTAACTTTATCAGTAGGTTGTATTGGATGAATTTTGAAAAAAGAGTAATAGTCATTTTTAGATGGCCTTTTAAAATTCTCAACGATACCACATTCTCGATTTTCATTTTCAGTAATTTCCAAAGTATTTTTATTTTCAATCGATGCTAGCGACTGCTCGACTGTCTAGAAGTTTGTTATTAAAAGAAGATAAAAATAAATAAAGCAAAAAAGAAATGTTACCAGAAAAAATTGCGAGGCACCATCAGTGTCCGATATATTTATATCGCATAGAGTGCCGTGGTCACATGCTTCAAATTCTGTATTTTTTTCACATTCTACAAAAGTAGAAGTAGAGGTAGAGGGGATTGCTGGGTCTTTAGCGTTATCATCAACTTTATCCGTATTATGGTCTGTTTTCTATAAAAAATAATTTCATATGTCAAACAAAATACGTACACGTACACGTAAACCACTGACTAATATTTTGCACAACCAGAAGTTTATTACCTTTTTTTGTTATTTTTTTCTACAACGGTACATTTTGAATAAGTGGTATTTTTTGCGTTGTAGATTAAGTGTTTAATAATGTTAAGATAATAATTACAATTCAATATGGAACGAATATAATACATAAAGATTATAATAATATAAAATTAACAATAAAAAGTCACTTTTACCTTAATAGCTTTGAACAAATCTCCGATGTTATGACACTGTGCCGCTTCATTTTCCCTTTTCTTCCTTTTTCTTTCTCGTTCTTTTTCAGCTCCACCTTTTACACGTTTATTCATTTTTTTTTAATTTTCCTTATAACGCAGCCAGAGTAATACTCCGATACGATACAAGTTTTACCATACAACAATAAAAAAATAAAAAACCATGTCGATATTATAAATAACTTTACTTCAAAGTATTGTCTCTGCTTAAAATATCAACTTTTAATGATACGTAATTTTGTCTGTAGGGGGCCACTTGGTTTTTATTACCAGTTGTACTAAATTGTAGTGAATATTTAAAAAAGTATATTTTATAAATAGTAGTACCTTTAGTACACATCAAGATTTGCACATTCAATATTTAAGCAAAATAAAACACAAAAATTGTAGGTTTTACACACGCGCGTTTGTAGCCAGAGGGCTGTAGCGCCATCTTTTACCGAAATTACATACTTTAAAAAGTCATCTCAAAAACAGTAAACTGTTTACTGTGCCTTTATTTGGAAATAAATCATAAAATAAATTCACAGAAACTTTTATGATCTATGGTAAAAGTTATCAAAACCTAAGGATAATTCATAGATGAGAAAACTTCTTCTGGAGAAGTTTTTCCCTTTTAATTTTATAAAGCATTCATATTATATTATATTACGGCCTTGGCGGCCCATCCGGGCAGCGGCCCTGGGGGCTTTGCCCCCTAGCCCCCCGGCCCAATCCGGGCCTGTTTATAGGTCACTAATTATTTAGTGCTAAAATTTGGTCTGTGTAACACTTTTTTTAATACCGCACAAGTTGCTTATAAACAGTTATTTGTTTTTTATCACAACTTCATTCATACCTATAATATAATATATTGTAATACTTTTATGATTCATATTATATTAAATTAAATGGAAATTTATATGACGGATAAAAATATTAAAAATATGATATGCGGAATGTTTTTGTTTATTAAATACAACTTTAGTTTGTTATTTGTTTAGCCTTGTAAAAAGATACCTTTTTGGATATGTCAATTTTTTATTTTACTTCATATAAACCAAATAAAACATTATTGAATAATACTAGGTATGTACTGTTATAATTATTAAAAATATTGTATAAAATTGTAAAAATTTAAAACCTTAGGTACCTACAGTGGCGGACACACGGAATTTTAAATGACTATCTTTACGTTGACAACCAAATCCAAACTTCCCTTAAGGACAACCAACCTTACTTCCGGTTATCACTAGTTTTATCATTTTGACAGCGAAAACAAAAATGGTCAATATTGTATCTTTGTTTTTTTACAGATTTATACATGGATAACCAAATTTCGTCGTTCAAAATTTCATGTCCGCCACTGTAAATAACTTAAATAATTTTATTTAAACTTACCTAGATTGCCAAGGAGTTATAACATTATCATCTGGCCCTCCAATCAAAACTAACTTTTTTAATTTGGTTAGGGAATTTTTAAATTGTGCAGTTTTGTTTGAAGGCAACTCATTGTTAACAAAAGGCAAATATTGAGAGTACTTGTAAAATAAAGCTTGATGATATGGGTCATTCCAATAGTTACCCACTGAAGTGTGCTGACCCACTCTCGAGTAAAATAGTTCAAAAGCTGTTTCCAATGCTGCACCAGGAAAAAATAGATGTAGAAACTGAGCTAAAATAAGCAGAAAGGTTAAAATAATTCTTTAACAAAATTATATTTCTTAAATACTTCCATATTGTCCCGCCTGTGGCCCACTCAAAGAAATATAGTTGTGCACATTATGATTGGGATTGGCTTGTAAAATTGTTCTTCCCAATAAAGCCCCTTGAGAGTAACCCAAAAAATGCACTCCCTCAGGATGTTGTTGACTTATATTAACTAAGTTTTTACTTAATTCGTTAACTTGATACCACATATTATCTAAACTTGACCATCCTCCAAACCTTTCAATGTTGTAAATAATGGTACCTGGATGTTTCTACAAAAATATCGTTTGTATAAAAAATTAGAGGATATTGAAATGTAAAATTTTTTTAACGTGATATATCTCTTAATATACTTTATTATTTAGTATGTACCTATTTAGTTTTGAATTTTTGATTCAAAAATTATATACAATGTAATATAAGAAGCGTACAGAGGGTGAGGCAAGTGAGGCCTTCCTAAGGCACCAATAAATTGCTGCCATATTTAATGCATTTTGCACAGAGAAATCAGTCAATTCGATATAATACTTATTTCGCGCAAGTTGCATTCATTGACCGGAATTCGGAATTATTGTACATTTGTATTAAATTATTACATAATTTGTATAACCATTCTGAATTCCGATGAGCGTCAAAACAAGTCGGTACGGCTCTGACAAGGTGTGTCAAATAATATACAAAGGAGAGTGTTGATGTTTTTCTTTTTTAAAACATTTAATGGGAAAAGGTTAATAACTAAATTACTATTTTTAAAATTTTATTTTTATCGTTCAAAAGACCAAAACCCCTATAATTTTAATCATAAAAAGTTTTAATCCCAAAAATATTATTCCAGTTACAACTTAATAACAATTAGGTACTTTGTATTTCTTAAACTTATTAAGTTAAAAATTTAAACAAAACAAGATAAGTAATTGAGCATTTTTGATTAAAATCAAAGCTTTAATTTTTTTATTTTTAATAATTTGATAATGTTTTAATTTGAAAACTTATAATTTTTTTAGCATGCAGTGTATTAAATAAATTAAACAATATGTATTCAACTACAACAAGAAATATACCTGAGTGTAAAAACGAATTATGAACAATTATAATTGTTATAATAATTAATGAGGTACCTGAATTCAGCCTTAAGGCTCTATATTAGAGCCTTTATTGTTTCAGAAACAATGTTTCTCATTCAAGAAATGATTTGCAAAATTATTTGTCCTTGGATAAAAATGTTCCGTTTTCTAATAAGTAACATATCTTTTGTTATAGGTGACAAACTATTTTATACTGTTTTGCATCAAAACCAAGAATTACAGACTCAAATAATTTATTCCAGTATTGCCTAAGAACAGTTTATTTTTCACTGATTGACCTTCATGAGATACAGTATCTTGCTATGGGGTCATTTAAATGCTAGCAAAAAAGAGCTATCAAACCATTTTTTAAATCTTTAATTATTTTAAAACTATCTTGTCTTTATATATTTGAATATTTGAATATAAAGACAAAGCAGAACTCGAACTACTAACTATTATGGTATAACCTGTGTAAAGATGTTATTATTGACAATAATAAGTTATTATTATAATTATTATTGTTACACCTACAGTGCAAGAAATTCAAAGCCAATTTTATTTGATATTTTACAGAGAGACCTATTTTATAATATTAGGGTTGGTTAAGTTAAGAAATAAACAATTGAAGGGGTAGGAAGCAAAAAGGTACAAGTGCATTTTAGAATGAAAATAAGTGCAGAATTGGGTAGTTTAGAGTCAAAATTTTGTTCTAAATTATCTCAATTCTGCATATTGATTAATGCAAACATTGAAACAAGTATCCAGATTTTTGTATGTATCAAAAACTTTTATTAACTTTTCTTTTTTGTACTTGTACCCTTTTGATTCTTGAAAGCACTTAGAGAATTCATTATTTTGCCCACCCTCAGTAGGGCCACAGTTACATATTTCTTGTGGGAGTTGAATAAAATAATATTAAATTACCTCTTCTATTCTTCCTTTTATTAATTCCATTGTTTCATACCCTGTCATAATTCCATGTAAAAGAATTACTGGTTTATAAGCGTTAACAAAATAACAAAATAAAAATAAAACAGTAAATTTCTTCATTTTAACACTTTTCTTTGTTCGCTGATTTATATTAATATTTGAGCACCATTAAAAAAAATGTCTTTGTTCAAATGAGATCCAATATCACATAGCTAATCAAATTAAATAAATGTATTTGCGTATTAATTCATTATTTTCAACTTTTGATTTGAAGGTTAGAATACTTTACAGAGACCTGTAATAAAAACTTATCAACCAAATTTAGAGCTAAAAAGTTACTACTTTATCGGTTAATTTCCTTCAAAATATTTGATAGACCTGCTAAAATTTCTTTCGGCTTGTCAAAAAACCGGCGTCCTCGTGCTTTGATACAGTTTTATGTTGGAATTACGATTAATGTGTTAGTTTTTATGTTCGATTTAATGTTAAAAGTTTAGGCTTGCAAAAATATGTAAGTGGTTGTTTGGAATTGTTTTGGCAGTGAGGCTCAGCATTTTTTGTTGATTAATTTTGTTTACAACTTCTCTTACCTTAAATTTTCTTTCAGTTTATTTACGATGACTTCTATTAAACAAAACGTAACACAGAATATGTAAGTGCTAAAATTATATTGGCATTTTTTGTAAATAAGGTTATGATTTTTTTAGAAAATACAGTGGAAATGAAGCAGAATACTCTGCTGATATAATAGGGGAAAATGTGTTTGTTCACTGTAACCAAGGGGCACATAATCATGGAAGTTCAAAAGTAAAATTGATTAATCGAATTGATTATAACTGGGAGTTTCGATACTACCAAGGGCACTTGGTATGTGCTCATATAAATGGCAAAATTTTTGCATATGGCATGAAAGGTAAACAGTTTTTTGTATAAAAACATATTTTTTTAATTTTTGTTTAAAACTTTATAGGAAAAGACGGTGGAATGGTTAGAGTCTGTAATCAAGAAACTGATAAAAGGGCATTGATCAAAAATTTAAAAGAGGATGTTAAAGATTTATCATTTGCCTTCTCCAGGCAGGAAATCATACTAGGCTGTGTGGATTCTGAGGGAAATGTTTTAATTTATCAAATAAATGATTCCCCAACAGAAATAAAGTATAATTTGTTGCTTCACATTTACCACAGGGATATGAACAATATTTCCAGAGCTAACATTAACTATAGGATAATTTGGTGTCCTTATTTATCAAATTTTGATGACGAGGATTCTGGGGATGATCCAGAGAAAATGTTTGTTTTATTAAATGAAAGTAGAGGTATGGAAATTTTCATTTTTTTAAATGTTTTATTAAATAAACATTATTTTTTATTTTAATTTTTACAACATTAACAATGCCTTGGTTCACAAAATTGTGCTTACATTTTTCTCTATAAAATTCAAACCCCATATTAACTATTATATTTCTCTCCAAAAGTTTTTATTACATATTTGCTTTTATTTTAATAAATAATCTTAATGTAAGCATCATAGGTAAATGGTATTACATTAAATTAATTTTGATTTTTTAGCTGAAGTTTATAATGTTGGTATCATGAACAGCAAATATGGTGTAGGTCCTATAGATACAAATGAATCATATGAAGGTTACATTGAAATTAACCATACTGATGATCTGATTGATGCTTCTTTCTCTTCTGATGGTACAGCAATAGCCATTGCCTGTTTAGATGGATTTGTTAAATTTTTCCAGGTAATAAAAACTACAAAACTAATTTTTATTGTATTTTAATATGTTTTGCATTTTAAATGAAATGTTAAATATCTTTATTTTCTCTTATTGTTTAGTTGTATATGGTTGATGCAGAAAAACAAAAATGTTTACATGAATGGAAGCCTCATGATGGCAAACCTCTGTCCTCTATAATTTTTATTGACAATGTATTGGAATACAGTTCAGAGTAAGTAGCATACTAATATATCTTTTATTTTAAAATATTTCCAGCACATTATTTCATAATCATAAATCTAAAATGTACTGTGTGTCTCACCTTTATAAAAATTAGTTGATTTCTGTTAATATTTAAACTTTTGACCAGAATATTTTTAGGCCATCTGTAAAGGATATTTTTATCTACTAGAAGATTTTTATCAACTTTTGCGTTTTTGTAAATTGATTAAAAAAAAATTAATTTGCTGACCAGTATAAAAATATACATATTATAAATAAACATTTTTTAATAGTTGATACATACCTACAGTGTGACCCATTTGTTTGCGACTCAACCGGATTTGTTTTAAAGTGTAATTCTTGATAAACTGTATTTTTGGAGCAAAAAACGCCATATTTTTACAAAATACAAGGCCTACTATGTCAGTTTTTAAGAGTATATTTTTAAGAATTCATATTAGCGATTTTTTTAAACAAAATCTAAGCACGGCACTGGATTCACCACCTCTCAAAACAATCCTGTACTAAATTTTATTGAAAAATTTTAAGTAAAAAAATGCACAATAATAACTACAATAATTTATTCTGTAAGTTATCCATGAAAAAAACATTGAAATAAAATTAAACTTATAGTATCAAGTTACTATCCATTTTCTATGTCTCTTTTTTAAATTGTTTTTTTTCTTAATTTATTTATTCACCATCTTTCCACATAGATTTTGTTACAATACACTTAAAATCATCCATATAATTCTTCTTAAAAATCAATTAATATGTTTAATTTTTTCTTGCACATTTGTTTCTTCTTTAATTCCTATCACAGAACATATTCATATTTTATAAATATCGGATTTGTCCAAATCATTTATTCATTACATACATTTAAAAGAAAATTCATCCATATACTTCTTTAGTATATACTATAATACTATAATATTATACGTTTTTCATTGCTCAAATTACATTTAGTTAGTTCAATTCCAATCATGCACCATGAGGCAGATGGCTGTACAAGGTGTGTTAAGAAAATAACGGGAATTGTTCAATTTCGCGGGTTTGGAAGGTCCGGTTGTCATAAAATTTTCTTTTCTTTATTATGTTGGTGTACATGCCCCCGAAGTATGATAAAAACTTTAGTTGTTTTCATTGTTTACTTTGTCTGTGGCAGTCGCTAAGGTTAGACGTGTTTTATGAGCTCGGCGATTTTTCGTTCGTTAAAAGAAATGGATCAAAGAATTTGTATCCAATTTTGCTTAAAAAATGAAATAAATTCTGTGAAATGTTAACAAAGGCATATAGTGAGTCTGCTATAAGTAAAACAAGAGTTTACAAGTGGTATAAGAGTTTCAAAGATGGCCGTGAAGACGTTGAAGATGACGAATGCCCCGAACGCACAAGCACATTAACAACCGATAAAAACATGGAAAAAGTGGAAGAAATGGTTATAAACCATCAGAGAAGTCGCTGATGATGTTGGTATATCGATTGGCTCATCCCATGAAATTTTTTCGAATGTTTTGGGTATGAAACGCGTGGCAGCAAAATTTGTTCTAAAACTGTTAAATTTTGAACAAAATTTTTGGCCAAAAACAATACTCCCCAGCCTCCATATTCGCCAGACATGCCTCTGTCTGACTTTTTCCTATTTCCCAAAAATAAAGAGAACCTTAAAGGGCCGTCGTTTTGCAAGCATAGATGACATTAAAAGCGCATCGCTGAAAGAACTAAAGGCTATCCCAAAGATCGAGTTTTAGAAGTGTTTCGAGTATTGAAAGAAGAGCTGGCACATGTGCATAATATCCAATGGGGACTATTTTGAAGGCGACAACATTAATGTAGACGAATAAATAAAAATTTGTTTCAAAAAACGAAAATTCCCGATATTTTCTGAACACACCTCGTATGCACTGATGTTTCCTTAAATATTTCACTCATCCTTCGTGGAAATTATTCGTAAATCAATCAATCTATTGTAGATTTTGTACATATGGCACTGACCAGCGTATTTTTGTGCTGGGATTCCGATTTTGTCCCTTCAGGGTCACAAGTTACTGATATTTCAAACTGTTTGCATAGAGCAAGTGACCAGGTCCAAGAACAAAACCCGAATGCTAACATAATATTATTTTTAAAGATGTTGGAAGTTTACGATAACCGGAGCGAACAACAACTCGGAAATCAAGCTGTGGTCGTGCGAAACGTGGACCTGCTTGCAAACGATCACGTTTAAACCGGACCCCAAGTCCCTCATCTCCAGCCTCTACCTCAACATGTCCATCGACTACACCGGCCAGTACCTCGTCGTCTCCGACATCAACAATCGCGTGCTGTACGTGCTTCAACTCGATCGCAACGACGCCGAACAAATGGTGCACGTGACCACGCTGTCGCAGTTCCTGTTGCCCGCGCCGTTCCTGAGCTATCACATCGTCGAAGCGCAAACGAAGAAGATTCCCTTCTCGTACAGCAACAGCACCGAGGACTTGTACGGCAGCGATCGCGACGACTACGACGAGGACACGGACATCGAGGCCAACTTTTTGAAGATGCTCATCGTTCAACCAAAGAAGTTCCAAGAGTGCAATATCATATTCCAGCCCGATCTTATGTATAAGAAGAGCGACTGTGATATGCAACAGGAAGTTGAGAAGGTAACAAAGGCTATTTTTACGAAACCAGATTTTTTTTAAATTTTAAAAAAATTTTAGTTTAATTATTTTACCATGTAAATGGGTCTTAAGAGCAGGTTTGGCATGATAATTTTTATTAGGTTTCTCCTACAGAGAATTTGGACTGTCCATTTAAAGTCAAGTACTCAATACAAAAATATGTCGAGATTTTACCAACAATAATACCTAATAATAATAATATTTTTTTTAATGTATATATGTTACGGCTAATGTGCAAACTTGGATAGTTTATAAACTAGCTGGATAGTTTGTATACTATCCAATTCAGTTTGGCTAATATGAAAACCAAAATTTCTAGTAACACAAAATAGCCAAGCTTTAGCTAGTTTGTAAACTAACCAACCAATTCTCTGGCTAATTTATTAAAAAAGTGAGGTTACGGCATTGTTTTTCGTTTTGCCGGCTTAACCGGATTTGTTTTGTGCATTTTAACGTTTTTAAAATGAATCATAGGCAAAATTTTAACGCTTCCTTGTTAAAAAACTCAACAACACAACCCTACCGACCCCGCCCCATTGGTCAAATGGTCAAAAATGAGAGAAAAAAACCCAAACCAACCCAAACTCAACAACACAACCCCCCGCCCCATTGAGCAAAAAACTAAAATGGGCAATAGCCAGAGAATTAGTTGGTTAGTTTACAAACTAAAAAGCTTTGCTATTTTGTGTTACTAGAAATTTTGGTTTTCATATTAGCCAAATTGAATTGGATAGTATACAAATTATCCAGCTATTTTAGTTTCCCTAATAATTTCAAGTAAATTAGTAAATTAGCCAAGATCCTTGGTTATTTTGTAAACTAGCCGCTAATTTAGTTGAAAATACATTTTCAATTTAAATAGCTGACAGTTTGGCTAGTTTATAAACTATCCAGCTAGTTTATAAACTATCCAAGTTTGCACATTAGCCGTGATATGTATACAATAAAGATTTTTATTATTATTATTGTTGGTAAAATCTCGACATATATGGAAAAATACAAAAGTTGGAAGTTCAGTTTACACTGTTCTTACAGTTTCAAGTTTCCCATTATTGCAATTCGCTGGGTGGACATTTTTGCGATCGTTAGGTTACCATATAGGAAGCTTAAATCCGAGTTTGGATCTTGGATTAAAAGGGAATTCGCGAATAACAGCCGTATTTTTGATTTTATTAAAAAAAAAACAAGAAAAATTAGCTGTACAAATTTGTGTACTTATTAATTTTTTAATATATTGCATATTTAACGAGTACACTGGTTAACATCCATTTTGCCAGAGGGTGGCGTAATTTAACTGAACAAAATGAATTATACCCAATCATAAAGTTAGTTTAAAAAAAAAAAACATTTTTAACTAATTAAAATCGCTTTATTAGCAAAAATTCGGCAATATTCAATGTTTAAGTGCTGTTTCCGATTTTAATATTTCAACACAATCAAATAAAGTGACACTCAAAATAACCGTGCCTGTCGAAAGATATATTTAAAAAGAAAACTAATTCAAAAATAAAGTTTTTCTCAAATATCTCGAACAACCGTCTTTAAAAACTAATACACCAAAATGTAAATTTACTGGACTATATTGTAGATGTACTTGAAACCTAGTGTTAATAAATCATGATGCAATCATTTAAAAGTTATTTTATATTTGTAGGTACCAAAATTGGACGACCTACAGTCTTCAGTAACCCTTCTAATCCAACAACAAACTAGCAAATCGCAATTGAACCTGATGACACCGGAAGACTTTACGACCACCTCAACAAGACCGAGCAGCGTGCGAAACTCTGTATCGAACGAATCGCAGACATCCAACAAATCCTTGGACAAACTGCACAAAAGCCCTGCCAACGAAATATTGGAGTTCCAGCGCTTGCAAAAAGACAATTTCGCTAGCGGTGGGTCGAGTCCTAGCCGGGAAGTTCAGGAGATATTGTCCCTGAATAATTCCAACTATAGCAGTACTCAAGAATATTTCGACAATCTGTCGAAGTTGTCCGAGGAAGAGCCGCCACAGAAAGAGTACAACACTCAAACGGAGACGCTGAATCTAACCAAACCTACGGCGGAGGTGGTATGGCCGAAAATACCGATTGTGGACGAATCGGAGATCGTCAAAGAAGAAATAATATCCGATCTACACGTGAATTCATCCGATGAGGTTCTAAATAAAAGCAACGTACAGGCCATCAACTTCCGAATCAGTTCTTTGGAGAACACAATCCGCGAGCAAAACATACACATGCAGAATCTGCAGAAAGAAATCAAAACCATCACGCAAATCTCGCGGCAAAACGGCAACGCGTCCAAAGAAGACTACGTTAAAGAGTTGGAGTTGATTATGTCGAAGCAGCATTTGCAAATCGCGAAGATGCTGGAGAATTTGGTGACTGCGCAAAAGACCCGCGAACGCGACATGCAAGAACAAATCGTCAACAACGTCAATCAGATGATGAACAAGTTGCTACTGGAAAAGGTTCAGAGCGTATTGGCGGCCGAAATTAAACCTGCTATCGTGCCGGTAATGCATAGTTTGATCGAGCAGTACAGGAAACAGATGGACGTGCAGTTATCGCAAAGGTTGTCCAATACTGATCTGGTTTTGAGGGAGCAAGTCGCTAAGGCTATAAACAATAAGGTAGGATGTATGAAATATTACTTTTGAACAAAATTAATGAATATATAACTTTCCGGCGCACGGCACATGCCTTCGTCGTAATAAAATAATTGAACAACATTCGCACAAGCATACATTTTAAAAATGTTAGGATAAAATTACGCAGTAGTTAAGCTAAAAAAATAATGGTACATATTCGCACAGTAGGTTAAAACTAAAAAATGGTAGGTTAAATTTTCAAAATTTCAAAAGTTGAAAGTTTGAAATAACAAAAAAGCTTAAGCTTTAGATTAAAATATAAATAATAAATATCCTTTAAGTTTCTAAAAAAATCTTCAAGACTTAAAATTTAAAATTAAATTACCAATTTTTTAAAATTTACTAGGTTTTACCTATTTTTAAAATCCCCAAAGACTCACAAAGTTTCGTTTTTCTAATTTTTTGCTTTTATCAACCGAACTATCTATGATAGAACAAAAAATTTAGTGAGTCTGTAACTTTGTGGCTATAATGAAAACTTGCTGAAGCCTTTTTTACAGGGCGCCGAACGAACTACAAAATTGCCATTTAATATTTTGTAATATAGTTTAGCTTCAAAATGCATAAAACACAAAATCTAAAAAAATTCAAATTTTAAGCACCCGTAATGCTTAAAAAGATCTTTTTATTTATTCTTCACAGCTTGCAGGAGAAAATACTGTTAAAAAACTTTTTTTCTATATTATTGTTATTTAAATGGGAAAAATTAAATTAAATTAAAATTCCGAGCTCCCCTTCTAACAGGATTTTTGTTTGGGCATATCCTATTATTTCTAAGATTTTAAAACTTGGAAATTATGAATTTTTTTAAATTTTGAGAATTTTAAACCTACCATTTTTTAATCTGAACTTAAGTTTTTTTGAATCATTAAAGCTTTTTTAACTTTCAAGTCTGGAAATTTTAAAAAAGTTGATAATTTTGGGGATTATAAACCTTGAAAAACAAGAATTTGGAAAAAAAATTCAATTTCCAAACTAAAAATTTCAAAATGTTTCGCTTAAAAGCTTGATTTGAGGACATATTTCTCTTGGAACGTTCTCTTTTTTACCGGCAATGCGATTAATTTTAAGAATTGATAAAAAAATATAGGGTGCAACAAGTATTATTATAGAAAATTTGCGCAATTGTAAGCCTATTAAAGTGATATTTATAAATTAGAAAAAAAAAGTATGCGGTTTTAAAAACCTTTCAAACCCAAAAATTCCTGTGAATTTTAAAAAAGTTTTAGAGGTAAACATACACATAAATCTACATTTTCATACAATTTCTTTCCTACTATATTTTGAGTTACCATCACCATCTTTTGTTTTTATAATGGCCGCCATAACTTATGTAGTTTGATACAACTTTGGATTTATTGATTTTTTATGTAAAATTCCAATATGGCGGCCATAGGAAAAACAAAAGATGGTGGTGGGAATTTAGTATGCAAAAAAACTAAAAATTGGATGAAAATGTAAATAAATGTGTATGTTTACATGTAAAACCTATTTTTTTCAAAATTTCCAGGAATAACGAAGTAATAACGATTTTCCAATTTAACCGACCTTTTCAAATAAAAAAGTTACACATACATAGGATACTTGGTATACCCTGTGTATTGCACAAACCATCGTAGATTCCAGAAACTAACTGCTTGTATTTTTTATTTTAATTTAAAGTTCTATCCAAAATGGGGTGTCCCCAAAATGTAACAAAAAGTTTTAATTTATTATTTATCATGCAAAATCTAATTTTATTTTTTTATTTCTATACTTATATTTGTTTTTATCTCGCTTAGCAATAACAGCAGTTGACAATTAAAATTATACTGTAGTCCTATTTGTTAAAAACTGTTAAAAAAAGATAGAAGTAGAATCAATTGTCACAGTTTTTGATAAAATTGATATTAATAAAATAAATAAATTGTTAGCATTAAAAATGTTATAATATAACATATATTGAATATAACATACAAAATTATTATTAAGTAAAATAAAAACAAAACTTAAATTTAATTAAATTGCCAAAAAAAAGTTTTACTTCAGCTCTTTGATCTAAGCGCACATGTATGTATTTTTTCAGAATTTGGCAGACACTTTGAGCTTATCGGTGGTAAACATTGTTGCTCCTAGCTTAGAGAAATGCTACCGTGATATAATCTACACTACTCTTCTTCCATCCTGGGAGAAGGTTTGCTCCCAGATGTTCCAGCAAATTAATGAAACATTCTCCAAGGGAACCAAAGAATGTAACATTGAATTCAATGGTGCATGAATTTCAGTATTAAATGTTTTTTCATTTTAGATACTTCTTGTGTTGAAAACTACATGGATAGGCAAAGAAGGGTTCAGGAAAAGGGCAAAGATATCATTGTGCAAATGCAATCAGTATCTGAAAATATGAAGTCTAACTCTGACAGACTGTCATCAACTCTAACGGCTGAGATACAGAAACAGTTTAACATCGTATTTAGGAGGTAAGAAAATAGCGTAAATATCTCTTTAATACAATGGGTTGCTGGGATGTCAAGTTGGGATTGAGGTTATTGATCAGGTCAAGTTAATCTCGACATTTCTCACTAGACAATTTATTATATTTTATATTTAATTTTTATAATAATTAAGTAAACAATTTTAAATTCATTTGCATCATTTATACATTTTTTTAATCTCAAATTGACCAGGCAAAAAGGGTTAGTTTGTTATTTTTGAACAAAATTTTTTTACACTGACATCGATGAGACCAGTATTTTTTCTTTTTGTTTAAATTTATTTTGTTCACCCATAGAAAATTTTTAAAAAATGGACAGAAACTTCGATTTTTTACGAGTGAAATTTTTTCTTTAAAATGCGATAACTTGGCCAAAAATATTTCGATCGTATATGAAGTAAAATTTAGAACTTTTTGACATATTTAACATATTTTTGTCAATTCAATTTCACCGGAAATGCTCTTAAGTAAGTAAATTAAATTATTAAAGATTTTAAAGTATAATGTAAATTCTTAATATTTTTTTTAAAAGATGTAAAAAGTATATTTTGGTTTAAATAATAAAAAGTAATTATTACATACCCAAAAGTAATGAATCAAATGCACAAGAATCTTATAAATACGCGGTTTTGAAGAAAAACAATTCCGAAAAATGTTGGTCGGTTAACGGTTATGAGTAAGCCAGTCTTGAAACTCTTTTTAACTGAGGCTCAGGAAGGGAAATAAGTATTAAGCCTAAGAGGTCCAGAAACTAATGCGCAGATTATTTATGTTTAGAAATAACTTTTTATAATCGCTTCAAAATATTTAAATGATTTTATTTAGTAGTTTTAAAACAAAAAAATGTTGAGCAATCTTACACCCCTTTGATTAAACATTTAAATTAAATTAAGAGTTTGAAAGCGATATTATTGCATTAATATTTGGTATTAAATTTTAAAAAAATGGATTTCTTTTATGACCAAAAAATAGTTTTGGCACAAAGTATGTTTTTTTAAATTTTTGAAAGCTCCTAAAACCCAGTATTGCAAAAAGGAATAAAATTGTCAGTCTAGATGTAGAAATTAATTTTAATTAAAAAATGATTTGACCTATCAAAAATTGACAACTGACCTATGTATTCAGAATTTTATTTTAAATCGAAATATGTAAAAATACATAGGGTGTTTCATTTAAAAAATAAAAATTTAAGACCACTTCCGGTGAAACCGGAAGTGACAAAAATATGTTAAATATGTATGTCAAAAATTTCTAAAATACACTTTATAAAGGCCACCCCAGTTTCATGACCCTAGATAAAATACCAAATTTTTGCGATAAAACATGAATTTACAAAAAAATTGCATTTTCATTAAAAAATAATAATTCCGAAACGACGAATTTAGCTAACTCGGGACTTTTAGTGAAAGTTGTGCATGTTATCTATCAACTTCAAACAAAAAAAATATGAAGTAAAAATAATGTCAAAATTTTGACCTCATATTTTTTTGCCATTTTTAGAAAAACAATTAAAAAAAATGCAGTGAATTCACTTAATTTTTTATATTTTTTGTATGCAGTAAACACTTACCTACAATTTAAAAAAAAATTGTAACAATCAAAATATTTTTGGCCAAGTTACATTCAAGAAAGAATGTCACTAGTAAAAAGAAAAATCAATGTTTCTGTTCATTTTTCAAAGATGTCGTACGGGTGAACAAAACAAATTTAAGCAAAAAATACAGGTCCTATCGATTTCGGTAGAGAAAGTAAAAAAAATTCATTAAATATTAACGACCTACCCCTCTTTCCCTGGTCGATTTGAGATAAAAATGCCATTTGGTGTTGGGATTAACGAGTTTTGTTAATTATATAGCAATTTTCTGAAAAATATTAATTTTATAACAATAAAAGTATTTTGTATAATTTTTTTACAATCATTTTTTTAATTTCAATTTTATCGTAAAAAAGTGTTTTTTACCCTAGAAAAGTTGGCTTCCCTGTGGCAAACAAAAAATTGCATTTTGTCAACCAGTGAAATTTTTTAGCAAGTCTAATAAATTGGCTAATAACAATTAGTAAAAGACCTAAAATTATAAGTTTTTTTGATCTAGTATCTAGTAAACTATTCATGATGATACGATAAAGTTTAAAAGCAATTTTTTAGTACATTCAATTCCCCCTAAAATTGTTTTATACCACATTTCCTATATAAAGCACATTTAAGGTTGTTAAAAACACCTTGTATTGTCCAAGCTATAATTCGGTACCTACCAGAGAAACCTATTTAACATGGATAGTATTTTTTGCAGTATGCATGAAAAATTGGCTCAGAATGTAAAAGAAGTGGTCAGTGAGCAGGTGAAGCAGGGTTTCAAGAGTCAAGCGTCCGTTATCGAGGACAGTGTTATGAATGCAGTACGATCCAGAGCTGTGACCCCTGCGCCCCACGCCGATACTCAAGTACGTTATTACAAAAACAAACCTTTTGCTTACCGTCACAAATACACTTACTAAGCTTGCAATTAGTAGTAGTTCTTGTAGAATTTCTTTTAGTTGGTAATATTTAACTTTTTTTTGCTTTAAACTTGACTGTTTATGGTTTTTTAGCATACTTAACCTTTTTTGTTATTTTTTTGTTAAGTTTGGCATGTTTTGTAAAAATTACAAATAAATTTAGTTTTTGTTATTTAGGTATTTTTTTTAACACCTCATAAACACCCTATACCCACACACAATATGTATTTATGTACAAATGATAATTTTTATTTTATTTTTTAATTTTCAGGCGACTTTGGCGCATATCCAGCAACACATAATGAGAAGAAATTACGACGAAGCTTTCAGACTCGCTCTGTCAGCAGAGAATCTTTCCTATGTGATATATACGTGTGAAAAAGTTGATGTTAACACATTATTTGGAGATGAGTGCCTCTTGCAGCAAAGCTGCCTTTTGGCGCTCATTCAACAGCTTAGTGTAGAACTGCATAAAAATACGGACCTCAAGCTAAGGTGAGTGAAGTTTTAGTTTTGCTTTTAATAATTCATAATTGAAGCAGGCTTTATTGAAAGTTTTTTAACGATTTTGTCAAGTAAATAAATTATTAAACTATTCGAATATTCGCACACCCATGCCATGGGCTCCATGGCTAATTTTACAGGAGAAAGGAAAGAACAGATGACCTCAGCACAAACGGAAAATGTTTAACGCCTTGTTACATGCAAATAGTCAAGAAAACATATTTTTGACTCCTTGGAGTGAGTTTTCACAACTTTGTTGCATTGCATACCAACGTCTTGTTAAAGTAAACAGCAAAGTTTTTGCTTTAAAGTTTCATAAGGGGACATCCATTAATTACGAGAGATAAAAATAGGGGGAGGGGTCGCAAAATCTCTCCAAATCTCATGTTAGGGGAGGGGGGTCATTAAAAATCTCACGTCAACTTTTGGTTTTAAGAATATGTATTATAATTCAAATTTGTAAAAAAAAGTAATCAATTTTTATTTTTTGGGTTTATCATGTTGTCCGCAAAGAAAGTTTAATGGCCAGAATCTCACATGAGGGATAGGGGGGTTCTACCACATCTCACCAAATCTCACCATGGCACTGTGGGCCCAATGTCCAAACTAGGTTGCATTAATTCAATTTTTTTTCTATTTACTTAAAACTTTAAAAATAATTAAACTTTGAGACTAACCAATGCTGGTAATTAATTATATAATTTATTTTTTCATTTTCCAGTGTTGCCACATTGGTATTTTTGGAAATTAATTTATAAAATTCAACTAGTGTAACAAACCATGCCAACGTTATCTACGGATCAAAATAAGTCGATTTAACTCAAATTACCTATATACTAAGTTGCTTAGTTTAGTCGTTAGAGGCCTTTAAAGTTTTAAAAAATAACTATTTTTTTAAATATCTTAAAAACGAATTAATGAATTTTGAATATTTTTCGAATGTAACTTTTAACTGCCAATTAACGTCGTTTGGTGCTACACTCAATTAGAATAATCAGAAAAGCCAGGTTAGGTACTAATTTTCGTTTGTATTTTTTTTACTGTTGCTCACTTTGTTTAAAATCTTTTTGTCTCTTGTAAAAGTTGGATGAGCGGTTTAGCCAGAAAAAAATTATTTTGTAATGTCTGCATACATACTATCGATATATCGCGATAGTTACTATGTTTTATCCCGAAAATTATTGAACATATAAATCTAGAGATTCCTTTTCTGAAAATAGTTCAATTTGACTCAACGCAGTTGCTTCGTGTAGCAGATAAAAAGTGAAATACAGAGTGTTGGTAATAGGTAAATGGTGTATAAAGAGGAGGGTTTTCGCATATTTTTTCGGTCACTTCCGGTTTCACCGGAAATGGGTCCAGGTTCAAAAAATTAAATAGAAACCCCTGTATAAATTTTCATTCTCGGATTCTTAACATAATTCTGGACATAAATGTGATTTTTTAATGCCTTTTGAGCAATTTTTAACAATGCATCTAGGCCACCTTGATGTAATATAAAAAGAATAAGTAGGCGTAAACACTTTTAACAAATATTAAACGCCATGTAAGTATATAATTTGCTCATTGCCCAAGCAATACATGCGATAAACAACTTAAAGATGCATATTAATTGGTAATATTTTCTTTTCTCAGAGGTTTACATTTTTGACTGGGATAAGTTTCGCGATTTTTTGCGATTTTTTTGGTTAACAGTTTTTAGTAGTCTACATCTTTGTCTAATAAAAAATATATATTTTGGCTTGGCATTCGTTGGCCTTCCTATTTTTTTACTCTGCAAAACATAAAAAATTAAATATTCATGTTAATTAGCTTATCAGTTCTTGCCAAAAGCAAAAAAAAAACACGAATTTTCTATAATTTTATGTATCCAACACAACTAATTGACAGGTCTAATGTCAGTTATGAAATGTTTAAGACGACTTTTGCTTTTCACGGCCCTCTAAGCTATAAAAAAAAATCGCAAAAATCGTAGTTTTAATTAAAACGATTGCATTAAAAATAGACTTTCTTTTAAAGATCTGACATTGGGCATTTATAAAAAAGTGTTCGTAGAGTATTTTCAAAAAGCAGTTATGTTTTTACAAGTTTGAATATGTTTTTAATAAAACAATAGTGGCAAATTATACATTTTCAATAATGACTTATTGCAACCTAGTTTGGGCATAGGGCCCACAGTGCATGGGGAGGGAGGGGTCCAAATTATCAGAAAAATGCCTCACGTAATTAATGGATGTCCCCTAAAGAATAACAGTTGTATCCTTAGACCATTTCCATCATTAACAAGGAAACAATTATAACAAATTTAAAATAACTTCTAATAAAAATAATTAAATGGAATAAATGTGTTAACTAACTGACAATGTTTTATTCCAAATTATAAAGTTAAATTCATATTTTTTTAATAAATAAATATTAAAAATTTAATTTTATATTTTATCTTCAAACCCTTTTTTTGTAGCATAACATAGTTGAAGCGGTTGATGGTTGTTAAATAAAATTTTTGTTTTAAGCAAAAATGTTGTAACCTTTATTAGTTTCTTACCTAGTTACCACCTTTCTGCAAAATACGAACATGTTAGTTATTCATCAACCCCTTCAATTATACAGGGTGTCCGGGAAAAGGAGGTCAATCCGTTAACCATATATTCCTTGAGTTAAAACAATAAGAATTCCATAATACCATTTTTCAATTTAGAGCTTCATGTTCGATATACAGGGCGACAAAGTTTGAAATTTAAAACTGAATTTTTTTAATAATTCGAGTAATTGATAAGATATTAAGTTTAAATTCGGTACACTACTTCAACATAAATAGTTACATTTTTTGAGACCAACAAAACAAAAAACAATTGTTAAATAATCAAAATAGGGGGGTCCAGTACTCACTGATTCCCCCTATTTTTTAGTACGTGCGCCAATGACTTCCAAACGGTATTTTTTCAGGTAATCATTTATTGTTAAAAAAAATTTGTCTCTTATAAAATTTTGATAAAATGATTTGTTTTAGAGATAATTTGTAAAGTATGGGTCAGTCCATATCAAATCAACCAAAGGTTCTTCCCCCACCATCTCCGATTTTGATCATTTTTGGTAAATTTGTTTACCTCACTAAAAAACTCAAAAATCCCAAATATGAATTTTTTTCGATAGGTGGTTTTTGTTTTATTGATTTTTGAAAATCAAAAAATTCCGATAAATTTGGGTCTTGCAAGTACTTACAAAAATAGCGATATCTCGTAAACTATTAAAAGTAGAAAGGTGAGTGATGGCTTATTTTAAAGGCCTATTAGAGAACTTTTTTATGATATATCACATGACCTACATTTTTTCAAAAAAAAATTAAATTTTGAAAATTTTATATGGACTTTATATACTTTACAAATTATCTCTAAAACAAATCATTTTATCAAAATTTTATAAGAGACAAAACATTTTCAACAATAAATGATTACCTGAAAAAATTCTGTTTGGAAGTCATTGGCGCACGTACTAAAAAATAGGGGGAGTCAGTGAGTACTGGACCCCCCTATTTTGATTATTTGACAATTGTTTTTTTTTTTGTTGGTCTCAAAAAATGTAACTATTTATGTTGAAGTAGTGTACCGAATTTAAACTTAGTATCTTATCAATTACTCGAATTATTAAAAAAAATCAGTTTTTAATTTCAAACTTTGTCGCCCTGTATATCGAACATGAAGGCCTAAATTGAAAAATGGTATTATGAAAGTCTTATTGTTTTAACTCAAGGAATATATGGTTAACGGATTGACCTCCTTTTCCCGGACACCCTGTATACTACTAATTAATACTACAAACAAAAATGAGGGATTTTAAGGTACAAAGTAAAATTAAAATTTTTGACACTTATTTATTAAAAATCGTTAAAAATATAAATTTAACTTTTTAATTTCGACTAAAACATTGACACTTTTGGCTCTCGTTTTATGGTACGGCCGAAAAAGTCACTTAATCAGACTCGTCCAAAAAAGGTCACATGTTGACATTTCTGAATTTTAAAAGTTGGAAAATGTAACTTTTTTAACTTTTACTACTGTTACAAAATGTTCATTCCTGTCTAGAAATTGTTTAGTAATGTACCACTTCCCACCTTGTATGTAATATAATATTTATAGCCAGTATCCAACTCCTCTTCTGGATCAAAATAATGAAATTTTTGTTTTTTTCACAAACTTTATTTATATAATAAAATAAATGCAATTCAGATTTTAAGGTATTATATTCTTAATTTATAGGCTTAAGCTACGATTATACTGACTAGGATTAATGATTATTACAGTTAAAAAAAAGCATTTTTGAAAATTACACAATTTTTTTTCAATTAAATAAAAAAAATAGAAAAAAAAATCGGCCCACTTTGGGATTGGCGGGAATAATTGTAATAATAATTGAAGTTGAGAAAAAAATAAAAAATGGCGAACTTCGCAAAAATATCGATTTAAAAAAAACGATAATTTCAGTTGATCATTTTAAATTTTTTTTGTCTATTTTTTCTAAAAATTCATTTAAAAACAAAAATTTCAAAAAAAAAAGATCAAAAGGTCAATGTTTGAAAAAGTTATGGCTATTTGAAAATAAAAAACTAGTTTTTGGGGTTGGATAAAACAATTTGAAAACATTTTCAAAAATGTTTTTCAAAGGGTAAAAAAGAATGGAAAACTTTTGGCCAGATCAAAATGGGTCGGGTTCAAAAGTGGTCGATTTGGCATGGAATACCCCATATATAGGGGGTGGTATTTAAAATAACAAAATTACTCTATACCAGAAGATCACCTATTTTATTATTAACATTTTGCCATTAGCGCTTTGAAATTGGTCAAAATCGTATTAGGATACCTTTTTTCGTTTCGAAGATATTATGTACACCTATATGTACATTGTACATGGTTATTTTTTTACACCTACCCTTGTAGCTCGATAATTGTTGTATAATTGTTGCTAACTATGTTTTATAACAATTTTGTAAATGTTTATAGTATTGTCCATTAAAAGCTATGGAAGCCATATTAAAACAAATTAATGAACTAAATTGCTACACAAGATGCGCCTTTTTTGGGTTTATAAGCGTTGTATAAACGTTGTTAAAAGGTTTAAAGCGACACTTTTATTTTATAAAAATAGTTCTGGAAACGTTCTTTGAACATTTATAAAACAAACAATTGTTTTTTAACAGGTTAAGCGCCACAATGTAATAAAATTTTTGGGTCTAGATTGCGATGCCGTGTAATTTACATGAATGTGTGAATCCACAGTTGAGCTATGCGCCCCAATATGAAAAAGTTGTACGTAAGTCGATATTGGTCTCAGGTTGCCAACTAGAAAAAACTTGCGTGAGACCACGTTCGATTTTTTGGCACCTGTTATAGTTAAGTTAAATATTTATATATTTGCACGCCCCACTATTTTAGTAAGTAAATAAATTACGATGTATTAGTAATTTTATTTTTTTGTATTTTAGTTACATAAGGGCAGCCTTCTTAGGGTTATCATCAGACACACCAACCACAAAACAGTTTGTAACCAAAGTGCTAAAAGAACTTCTAAGACAACTTCAAGTATTTATTAATTCAAATCCTCCAATAAAACACCTAAAGGAAGCCAAGCTATTGAAAATGGCTGCTGAAAGCATGCTTTCTTAATATATTTTTATAATTCATATTTGTTATAACTGTTGAAGTATTATGTAAGCCTCATAAACATATTTTTTTATTATTTTACGTTTTTTGAATGTACTTCATTTAGTTTTTTTTATTCGTGAGTGTTTAAGTTTTTATGTTAATACTTAGACTCGTTTTTTAAATTAAAACGTTTTTATTTAATAAAATGTATATAAATACAAAATATGTTTTTAATATTTTATCACGTATTTTTAACCGCAAAATTTATAAAGCTAACAACTTTTAAATATCTAGTTTGGTTGTTGTTTAATTTGTAAATTCAACTTCAGAGAAAAAAACCCTTTTTTACAGTAGAACCTTGATAACGTAAAAACCTCTATAAATCAATAAAGTTTTGTGTTCCCTTCCCCTCAGCCTAAAACCTTCCTTACTTAAAATACGGAACCTCTACAACTTAAACGAACAATTTTAGCTTTGACCCTCTGTAACTTAGAGCAGTGTCTTGGCGACCTCCACAAATTAGAGTATCTGCCTGTTACGAGGCATAAACTAAAGAATATAGCCGTTAAGTTAAGAAGGGGGTTATTATTATTAAAATGATGAAAACTTCTTAATTTAATTAAGTTAAAAACTCGAATTATTTAAGGTTTTCCTTGAACTTTTACTGTATTAAAAATAATAATGAGAAATAAATATTATTTTTCAATATTTAATTATAATTTTTCTTGGAACGTCGATAATCGTAAGCTCATTAAAATTTATACTTATTTACCAATTTGTGAACCGATCCGGATAAAATTTGTTTTGTGGATTGAGAAATTTTTAAAATTTTATTTTTATTTTTTATTTTATTATTTTTAATGTGCCTTCAACAGGCACCAGGCCCAATTACAGAAGTACACAAACACAAATACACAGCCATACCCCTGGTGGGATTCGAACCCACGACCTCTCGGCTTGTAGTCCGCAGTGCTAACTACTACACCACCGAGGGCGAAGAATTTTCCTTAAAACCACACACATATATTGACATAAATTGACAGGAATCGCATTTTCTCGTGATTTATTATATATTAATCGTGATTTATTTCTAACAATACTTTTCTTTATAAAGGAAAGTATTGTCACAAAAAAATCACGATACTAAAAAAACAAAATTATATTAAAAAAATGGGGTAAAATAAAAAACTAACAATTTAGAAAAATACCTAGATATTTGGAATTTTTTTGAAAAATAACTTTTGATTTAATTTAGTATAATAAATTAAGACATTTATATACAAAAAATCCATATATTGCATTATTTTCAGAAAATAGGACAAAATTAGCTTTACACTGACAGAAAATTAATCTAAATGTGTGGAGCATAGTATATCAGTGCCACTGATTATCAGTGTATATATACAAGATTCCGTATGAAAATAATAAACCTGTTTATAGAGTGTAACACGTCTAGCGGAAGGATGGTCGCAAATACTCAAAAAAAGTACACGTATGAAGCCTTTCCGGAAACCAGCTGATAAAAAGTTTTTTTAATTTTCATGCAAGGTTTTTATTTTAAATTTTATACGCAATAACAATAAAGTATCCTGTATTTAAGATAAATTTAAATCAAAAATAATAAATTTAAAATTATTTTTATATTTCTCCCAAATCACCCTATACACTCTATATGGGGTAATGCACCCTGCATTTTGTGCTTTATTTGATTTCCTTTAAAAAAAACAATACATTAAACCAATCACCCCAATCAAAACACAATTAAGATTCAAAGTATCCAATAATAGATCACCGGGTGTTAAATACAATGTGTTTATACTTTTTGGCTTGTGTTTAGTAATTTAACGTCTTCACACGCTCGGTTTTTGTCAACAAGATGCCATTTCTTGTTAAGCAAACCACAGTTGGATACATATGTTATATTTCATATGTATTGTTTCGCTCTGCATTGATTGTTTGTCTAAGGAAAGGGTTGACGTGAGGCACATTCCCAAACAACGGATTTCTATGCATTTAAAATATTAAATCTTGTTGATATATTATTATTATTTAAATGAACCGTTTTTGAAAAACATGTCATACTTTATTGAGATTTCGTCTTTATATAGGTACTCTTGATAAAAATGATTAGTTTTCATTTTTGCAAAACAGGAAAAAAATAGTTTTTCTCATAGAGCGGAAGAATCTTTTTCAAGGTTTAAGCTGCCAAAAATAGCATTTTTGTGTCGTTATTAAACAGGATGTAAAAAATGGACAAAACTACCTATATAAACTTGTTATGTCATTTTATCTACGCCAGTGAGATAAGAACTTCTTATCCCACTCATTTTGAGTGAGATAAGAAGTTCATTAACGCACGCGTTTTTCTCTGCTTTTAACCAATCAAATAAAAAAGTCAAAATGTCAAAATAACCCTAAATTAAGTCTTACCGTTTATTTTTTCATTTAGAGGCGTAGATAAAAATTTGTACAATATACGTGTGATAACGCTTTATTAACGTACTTTTGCGATTGCCCAACTCGTGCTACGCACTCGTTGGGCAAATTTCCCATGCGTACGTTAATAAAGCTCTTATCCCACTTATATCGTAAATAACTATTAATGTATTCTACTCAGGTCCCGATTTGGGATTTGTTTGCCCCTAGCCTAAACCTGTTGCGCAAGTTCTACCGAGTATTTTTTTAATTTACACTTACACTAAAAACCGCATTTCCAACAAATATTCAATTAAAAACGTTTAATAAAAAAATATTATTTTTAAATGGTTTATGTTTATATACTTTTCGTCTTAGAATCATCCCAGATAGCAATATGACGTCTTAATTAAGTCTGCATAAGTTCTATTTTATGGTTTGGACGTCAAATACAACATCAGAAAGATGTTTTTAAGAAGTTCTTAAGACTTCGAATGCGCCACCTATTGAACTAATCAACACTTCTCAAAAAAGAACTCTTGAGGAACCCTTTTCTTTGACTTCGCAATTAAGCATTTTAAAGAGTCCTACTGTATAAACTTCCCAGTCAGCACATGGATGTCCCAAGGACGTCCTACGGATGTCATCCTTGGATGCTCTGGACCTCCCAGGGATGTCCTACAATATCCCATGGACCTCCATAGGACGTCCATGGACTTCCAAATGGTGCACTTTTGTATGTCCAGAGACCGTCCCACTGAGGGTCACAATTGACCTTATATGGATGTAATTGGACCTCCCAGGGATGTCCTACAATTTCCCATGGACCTCCGTAGGACGTCCATGGACTTCCAAATGGTGCACTTTTGTTTTTTAAATAAAACCCATAAAATATGTAAAAATAACTTTATTTTTGTGAAAAAGTAACTGATTAAAATTTAAAAAAAAACATAACCGTAAGATAAATTATAATTTCTGTACTCATAAATTTGAACATTTTGACCTTCTTTGAACTTTATTTTGAATTCGGCCTTTACAATGTTTGAGCCATGATTTTATCGCCATTTCAACTTCTTTTTCCGTGACATTTAGCAGCTTCTTTACTGCAGCTAGAATCATATTATTTTGGTAAAAAAATACATACAAATTGTTAAACTTACTGATAACAGCCTGACAAATATTTAAATTTTGAAAACTTTTTTTTTCATTTCTCTTTCCTTCAAAGTTATATGTTACTCCTATATTATCTGAAAGAGTTTTTGTGAGGCATCTTTTTACTGCTTCATACGGTTTCTCCCCTCCAGTGTTATATAAGAAGTCCACCTATAAAAATTGTAAAGTTGGTCGTACATTTATGCATATTATATATATTACATATTCATAAATTAATTAGGGTGGTACTTACCTATAGGTATATCTATATATTTTTATTATTCACTAAAGCTAGCTGGATTTAAAAAGCACTGAACTACGAACTATACCGGAACTATACCGGTAAAATCACAAAATGGCGAACAAGGTGGAGCATCCAGAGTCTCTGATAAAGAAGGCATCTGTTTTGTGCGGTGAGGAAGCAGCGCAACGTTGCCAGGTTGGGCGATTTGAGAACTGCCAATCGGTCTAAAAATTTAAAATTGGCGACATTATTGGCGAGTTCAGATGATTTTTTATAAATACCTTCTTTATTTTTGTTTTTAAATTTGCTGCTTTTAACAGTTTCTATTTACTTCATTTGTTTTTAAACCTACTCAGTTTTTAAAAAAATGCTCGAATGTTATTTTTACCAATCAGGTTTTATAAAATCTCGTTCATATCCACTATATAGTGGATAAAGCTATCAGATATAAATATTTATCTACATGCCCTAATCTTGAAGACTCTTTGTTGGTAATTCTGGCAACAAAAAAATGGCAACACTGCCAAAGCTGTACAGTAAGCTAAATTTAGGCGTAATTTTGTTTATTTGACAACCTTCTTTATCTCTGTTTGACATGTTTGATATAAAAATATTAAATATTAGATTCTGCTCAAAAATATATTGATTATAGATTTAGCAAAAAAATGATTTTTGTATTTTTTTCTTTTCAATGTTTCTTATTACATAAATTTTATGTTAATAATACAAATATATTGAATAACTTTAATCAATTAAATCGAATACAAATCTTAATTTTGTTCCCCAGCAAAAATCAAACATTGTCCCAAACAGATGTTCGGTGGATATCCACAGGATGTCCAACTCGGAACGGCCGAAATAGACTTAATAAGGAGATCCGTGGGAAATCCACAGTATGTCCAAGTCGGAACGTCCCAAATGGACCTAATCAGGAGGTCCATGGGAAATCCACAGTATGTCCAAGTCGGAACGTCCCAAATGGACCTAATCAGGAGGTCCATGGGAAGTCATGTGCTATCTGGGTTATAAAAATACTTCTTTAGAATTTTCCGTTTGGATATAGAAGTACTACTAGGGTACTGATGAAGAAATTGCTTACTGTATCGTTGCTTATTTTGACATGTCAAGTTTATTTTATTAATTTGTTAAATTGATTTTATTAAAATCATTTTAATTATTTGCTTGTATTCGCTTATTTTAGGAATTGCGA